ACATCAACAAACAATGTAATCAGCTCCATTCCTATTTGAAAACTAGACCCGATATTTTAAAACTAATTTGCTCTGCTGACAAATATAAAACAAATACTTAGACGTAAGAATAATTTCATAAATTAGATTTATACGTATTCTCTCCGTTTTTGAATAAAATTTGCTTTTAAATGCATAATTTTTTTTTTTTACAAAATTCCGCAGGCGTCCCGCTCTGACGAAAAATATAAATGGTCACATTAGTCATGGGTTGTAATTCCCATTACCAACTTCAAATACGATATTGGAAACAATTCCGGTGATTTACGTCGCTAAAGCTATCCGAATATCGAATATCCTTTTTTTGGTATCTTTGTTTCTAAGGGGGTAGAAAACCTCTTAGCATAAAATTTTCAATTTTCGGAGAAGGGTCCATCTTGGTCTTGACTACATTCATCAATTGATTTGGCTACAAAATTGTGTCTATTGGGGTAGAGAACCATCTTACAGATTTGGCTAAAAAATTGTATCTACTAGGGAGAGAACCATTTTACATTTTGATGATAACTCTCCACATAGGCATTAATTTAAGTATAGTTAGGAAAAGGCACGGGAACGAACATTTGTTGAATTAAACGTTAAAAAAACTCCAAATTACAGTAATCGGCATAGATATTCAACTGTGTAACATTCAGCCATTATTAATTTTGGGAAAACTCATGTTTGCGATAAAGATTAAGGCGCTTGTTGGACTGTTATTAAAATTTTATGTTAATTGATAGTTCTGGTTTTTTTCTAATCAATTTGTCTGCATATAATTTATGTTTTATGAGAGCGCTTTTTATAGATGTTATGTAAGTAGTTTGGCACTTTGAAGGATAGGAAATTTTCATTTAAAACGTTCCCACGAAGATAGTTCAGCTTATCTTTCTCACTCAATTTTGTTCTATTATACTTTTTTAGTTTTGACTTGTTATTGATTTTTTAATTAATTCAGATTTTGAAAATTTAAACGATCAGCACAAATTTTCTAACATTTTAAGTTATTTCATAAAACAGGGCGTTGTATGAGATACTATTCATTTAACTGGCTTTATGGACACTATTTTTTTTACAAACAATGAAGTTGATTTTTGTTTATATATAAAAGATATTGTTTCATAAACAAGTCTTCACAGAAATCATTTAACAGAGTATTCATCCTGAAATAGTAATAAATAAGAGAAATAATTATTTGTCATACATGTAGGATATCAACCGTGGTCGACCAATACTGACGTTCACCTAATAAGACATGAGAGTGATAGGATACACGGACGAAACGACGGACATGAAACAAGTCGAAGTAGAAACAGACTGGACAGACGGAACAGTTAGTTAGAGAGTAGACGACAAAGAAACAAGAAGTCGATCGGACGCGAAGTTGTGCAAAGTATATAAGTTTAATGTAAGAAATGTACAATCAATGAATTAAATGAACTGAATAAACGTATAAATCAAAGCAAAGTCTTCTCCTACATTATTTGGCAACTTGTCGGTAAATAATCAATACATTTGAGGACTGGACAGTGGATAATCTCTACATTTGATGGCTCATCCGGAATAATCTCTACATTTGGGGGCTCAACCGGGATAATCTCTACATAAATGTTTAAACATTTCCCTAAATTTATTTTAGAACCAATCTATACAATCCATGTGTAAGTTTTTAAATTTTGAAGAAATTTTTGAAAACTTAAAAAAAGTGGAAAAATCCTAAATAAAAAAGTGGGGATTTTAGTTTTTTCAATTTCATGTAAATTTGTACAAATAATCATTACAAACGAGGAACGAATCTCAATTGAGAATTTTAAAGTTTACCTTATTAAAACACCAATTGTTTTAATACCAAAATTGGCAATGTATTACTTAAAATGTGAAAATATAAATTGCAACGCAATTAGAAAAAAAAACACATACACATACAAAACTCCTGATAAAATGTAAATATATATATATATATATATATATATATATATATATATATATATATATATATATATATATATATATATATATATATATATATATATATATATATATATATATATATATATATATATATATATTATTGAAATACCTTATATTTTTAATGATACTCTACAACACTATGTTTGCGGGTATTGTAAGTTTGATTGGGCCAAAAATTATGTAACAGCTCAAAATATTGGTTTCCCACATAGAAAAGTATATATGAATCTTCCTGAGTCGCGCTGAGTCGATCTAGATATGCATGTCCGTCCGTCCGTATGTTTTCCTGTCAATGTTAATTTTTAATCACGCTACAGGTCGCAATTATGGTCCAATCCTCACGAAATTGAAAATGTAGGCGGGTTATGGTCAGAATAAAAGCCTATTGCTATTGGAGATGATGGCATAATATTAAGGGGTTGAAATGGACCAAAAACTGAAAAATTTCTTGATTTTGCAGTTGCGCTACAGGTTGCAATTATAGATCAGAAGTTAGCATGGCGCTAGAGCTTAGGGCTGGACAGAAGCCTTCCAATTTGAATGGTTATCGGATAATATTTAGTGGGTGAAATAGACCATAACATTTGTGTTAAAGAAAAGTCAAATTTTCCATTAAACCGCGAATATTTTTAATCCCGGCGAAATTAAAAATAGACGAAAAGGTCAATTCTGACCGTTACGTAGATGCCGATAGTAAATTTATTGGATATATATAGCGAAATATATACAATGTGAATATACAAAGGAAGGGGATGTTATCTAGAATGCTTATATCTCACGTATCGCTTTTCGGATTTTGAAAAATTTTGGCTTAAAAGAATAACATTTAAAAAAATCGCATAAAAAGATCTCAATAATGATGTGAATATAAAAATTTTGTAGCATTTTGTGTTTTACTTTTTGCACATTTTTTATTGCATGCGATTTTTTTTTTCAATTTGACTTATAATATTGAAGTGTATATTTTGTAATATTTTTCAACATACAACACTGGTTGGGGTTATTATATGCAGATTTCAATTACGTCCGATCATCACGAAAATTTTCATAGGGGTAGGGTTAGGTCTAGAAGGGCTAGGCCTATTGTTTTTAAAGATGTCCGCAATATATTTAGGGGTTTAAATGGACCAAAACTAAAACTGTTCCTGATTTTGCAGCCGTTATAAAATCACAAATTGAAACAAAAGGACACGAAATCTCACACGAAGTTATGGTTTAGAACAGCGAGTATAATGGACCACTACTTTTGTGTGAAAAAATACCAACATTTCCATACTACCGAAACGCTGAAAATAACTTACAGGCGAAATCCAAAATACACAAGTGGCGAACTTTTGGCTTTTTATGCTGATTTCGTTGTCGAATATAGTCAAATATCGTGGACGAGCAAATCGTATAGATGACTGTAAATTTGAAGATACAGAGGGACCTCTTGCTTTTGGAGATGATCGCAAAATATTTAGGAATTCAAATAAGCCAAAAACAGAAAGATTTTCCCGATCAAAATCAATTTTTATACAAAACTGAGTTGATTATTATTTTCATTGAAACACATAGTTGAAAATATTTATTTTCTGTCCTTTAGATGAAATGAAATAATTTTGTTTTATTATAAAACAAAAATATCATTTAATTTAATAATTTATATGTTGCCGATTTTTTTGACGATTTTTAAAAATACAAGTGCCGATTATGCAGATTTTGTTCTGCAGTATGACGATTTTTCCTGAAATTTGATTGGCAGTTCTGACCAGGGGGTAAGCCAGGGTATACCTAGGTTTCGGAAAGAGCCACCAATCCTCATCAGTGCCCTTTTTTCTGGCATATTCTCCCCAGAAGTTGTTTTAAAAATAACTTCTATGACAATAATTTTTTTTATCCAAGTGACGAGATCGTAAGTTCAATAGAAGAGGAACCAAAGAATTAAATAAAATTAAAATTCTTTTGGAAAATCTTCTAAATCTTACAACCGCACTTAGAAACATTTTCATTTTTCTCCACTTGTTATGCTTTTGTTTTATATGAAAGAAGGAGCATAACAATGTCAGTTGGTTTTGCCTGTTACTACGAAAACCCCTTCGTCGACCGTGCCTTGTCTATTAATAGAACAGTGCTGGCTTGTTTGTTCTAGTTTGCAAATTTCTCCACAATGCTATTACTATTATTATTATTATGGATATATTCAAAGGGCGATATTAAATAGTTTTGCTGTTTAGTTTTACGTTGTAATATCGGTTTACGTTAAAAATTAGGGTAATACGCGAGAGCTTAACAAAACACGTTCACTCACAACGACTGCCGCAAAACAACCTCCTACTACTTCACAACTACATTAACTTCCACTTCATGAGCCAATGGATTTATAAAAAAAAAATCTACCACATACCGGTATCATTTGATCCAAGTAGAAAGATCTACATTCAAATAATGACCTCACCTCCCAATTTATACATTTAGAGTCAACGAGCAATTTATCGGCGTATGCGTTTCTTGGCGCCTTTACAGGTGTATAAGCCGGCGCAAGTGTTCATTTTGTTTTTCGTCCCACAATGATAAAAACTTTGTTGGATTGGCTAATATATTAAAAAAATTGTGTGGCTTTCCTAAGAAATATAAAAAATGTCTTGTACTAAATAATTGTCACCAAAGTCTCAGTTGGTAGTTTCTCCTACCTTGTTGCTATATACTACAACTTTCAAGACGCCGGAGTTTTATTATACAAACGTCATTTATCCAACACGTTGTTTATCAGAGTAAACTTAAATAATGAGTAAAACACAGATAAGTTTAATACCCTCCAACAATTGGAAGGAACTTGAAGATTAAAAAAAATCCGTCGAAAAATACTGTTTAATTTAAAACCCTTACATGTGGGGTTATACGAACAGGTAAGAGATTTTGCATAAGTAATTATTAAACAATTTATTAGAATTTTAATATATATAATTTTCATATCTAATTTGTAGCGTTTGCTGTTGGGGTTTCTATGCTGAACCTTATTTATATTTTAGGTTTATGAATTGGAGAGAAGATTTAAACAGCAACGATATTTATCGGCACCAGAGCGAGAACACCTTGCAAGTCTTATCCATTTAACACCAACACAGGTATACAAATTATTTAAAGGCAGATACGTTTTATTTTTAATTATTGTTTGTCTAATCGAAGAAAACAAAATATTTATCAGAACCAAACCATACCGCTATAATGGCAAAGACATAATTACGGTGCTAAATAAACATATAACAATACAATTCTAACAATGACAACAATTTTAAGCAAATAATAAACAAATATATTTGTTAATAAAAATATTTTTTTTTTTTTTGCAAATGTGCAGAAAAGTCATATTAAATAAAATTGGTGGAGTGGTTTCCATTGCCGTTCATAATTCGCGGAACGTATATCAGCAGAAAGTAAAGAAGCGACTTGATCGAATCCGGCGTCGCAGTGGCCGAAAATTGGCTCGTAAACTAAACACATCGCAATATTCCATTCGGCAAATATTGAAAAATTAGCTAATCGACCGTGGCATCAGAATAAATGCAGAATAATATCGCAAAAATATTCTGGAGGGTGTATTAAAGCCTTGGGCACGCAAACATTTTGGCCGCAGACCGTGGACATTCTAACAGGACTCAGCACGATCGCACTCAACATGCGCCACCCAAGAATGGTTAGAAAATGAGGTTCCTCGCTTCATTTCCAGCGCACAATGTCCACCAAAATCTCCGGTTAAAAAATCCGTTGGACTATTGTGTAAAAACTACCAAAGTGTCGATCACCTCAAGCAAGCGCTTCGTCGGGAATGGGCCAAAATATCGCAGAGCAACATTCGGACAGTTTGTGACGGTTTCATTGGACGTTTGAAGGCCATAATTCGTGTCAAAAGTGACAAATTCGAACAAATCTAAACTTATTTTAAACTTTGATGTTACTTCCGACATTTTTTGCTTTGATTCAATAAAATTTAAAAAAAGATGTAAAAATTATGGCGTTTGACTTTGTTTCAGTTTTTTTTATCTCACCCTGTATGTATTAGTCTTTTTTACAGAACTGTTCGCTGAGATGTCATTTTTTGAGAAAGCATATTTGATCAATGTCTTTATCAGAGGATATATATGATCTTACACTGAAAGAAAAAAATTCATCAATATGATGATTTTGGGCATTACTTTGATGAAATGTTTCTTCGATTTTGAGCTTACAACGCGTTTCATCATTATAATGAAGAATTTTACATCAAATTTTTATCAAAAATATTTATCAATTTAATGAAATAATGTCATCACCTTGAAGAAAAAGTTCATTTAATTGGTGTATTATTTCTTCCTTTCGATGAAAAAATATACTCAAATTGATGTTCGATTATCTCTATATAATGTATATTCTGCATCATTCCAATGAAAGGTATTCATCAAACTTACGTAATTCATTCATTAAAATTACATAACTTCAATGAATAAACTGGATCAAACTAATGTATAATTTACATTTAATCAATGAAGCCCTAACATCGAACTGAATTTTGTTTTCCTCTTTAGAAACGCCGTTCTAAATTTTACAAAATTCAATATAAATACAAATACTTTAGGCATTTAGGAAATATTTTTTATTTAAAGACTTAAAAAATAATTCATTACGGGTTTGACAATGAATATATATTTCAATATTTCCTTAGAATAATGAATTAATAAACTATGAATGTGATAAAATTTAAAAATGTACATAATTATAGGACGCTTTAAGCGTTTGAATTATATTCAAATACAAAATTAAATATGATGTAGATAATTTATATATAAATCAGTGTTCGGTATAATTTAAATCACTTAAAATATTTAGTATTTTGAAAATTTTTTTGTGTGAGCTGATTTCATGTCATAGAAGAACTCTTGAACAAAGATCCAGAACTGATTGGATGCTCCGGGAAATTCTAAATTAAATAAGAAAAAGCTTTTGAAGCAAGTATCTAGTGCTCGCTGGAAATCTACAAAATGTAGCAATGCATGGTCTAAATAAACATAGTAATTGTAGTCATTATCTTCTAAATTGTCATCTCCAACAACAAAAATAAAAGGTTGAATATTCTCATTTCTCTTTTCTAAGAAATTTAAGTGGTTGTCTACTTCTTGGATACTTCGTGCGAGGAATATTGACGATTCTTGGGAGTCTTTTATGGTGTATTTCCCATACGTTTTCTTTCCATCTTTATCTTTACGGAGGTATTTTGATGTTGGATATAAATAGCCGTGTAGACACCAAGTCAAGCGCATAATAAATAAAGACATGTTTGAGGCTACAAAATTAAATAAAACCAGTAAAGAAAGTCTTCAAGTCGGGTGGGGCCGACTTTATGATACCCTACACCACTTTGCTAATTAAGTAGAGCTCCACATAACAATAAAGATATATATATATATATATATGTGGGAGCTATATCCAAATCTGAACCGATCTCGATAAAATTTGGCAAAGATATTTCTGAGCTGTATTTGATATGTTTCCCTGAATATCGTTGTTACGGAGTGCATATTACGGTTGTGGGTAAGAAATATAACAAATCGGACGAATAATATATATGGGAGCTATAGGTATATCTGAACCGATCTTCACCAAATTTGACATACTAGCTTCTAGACTCAATTCGGTCGTAAGTGCCAAATTCCATTTGGACAAATATTAGACGTTTGGTGCACAATAAAAGGCAAATCGGACGAAGTTATATATGGGAGCTATATCCAAATCTGAACCGATCTCGATAAAATTTAGCAAATGTATTTTTGATCTGTATTTGATATATTTCCCCAAAGATTGTTGTTGCATAGTGCATATTACGGCTGCGGAGGACAAAAATAACAAATCGGATGAACAATATATATGGGAGCTATAGCTTTATCTGAACCGATTTCGATCAAATTTGGCATACATATTTTCAGGCCTAATTTGGGTGTATATGCAAAATTCCATACAATTCGGGCTGATATTACACGTTTGGTGCACAATAAAAGGCAAATCGGACGAAGATATATATGGGAGCTATATCTAAATTTTGACCGATTATCTCCAATTTTAATAGGGTTCGTCCGTGGGCCAAACAAAAGATCTATGCAAAATTTCATCTGGATCGGGCAATAAATGCGACCTGTACTTTGTTTACAAAAATACATGGACAGACGGACGGACATGCATAAATCGACTCAGAATGTGATTCTATGCAGATCATCAAAAGGAACTATGGGTCTATCTCGTTTCCTTTTGCCTGTTACAAACAAATGCACAAAGACATAATACCCTGACCACCTTGTGGTGTAGGGTATAAATATTAGTTATTTAATGATATGCATCTAATGAAAAATTTTTCGTAACAAACCTGCGTCTGATGGATCAATTCTATCGAAAACTGATTTAATTCCAGCATCTTTAATATATTTTTCCTTCTTAATCACATTATACACCGATATTAGTTAAGTTTCCCATTCGAATATTGGTGTGTAGTCTTTATGCAGTACTCCGAAGTCTATGTTAATCTAAACGGAATATCAACATACACATGTAGAAAGAATATTAAATTATGATGGACACATAAATTAAGTTGGAAAGTAAATGTAGTAAGTTTCATTTTTTGAGTAGAATTTCTAATTGATCTTCAATAGCTGCCATTTTTATATATATTAATATAACTCTTTTATTCTTATCATATATTTTCCTGTATGGGTTTTTATGGCTGATGTTGGATGTCCAATTAAATTTTTAATATTGAAGGCAAAGGCTCCCCCTACTTTGTTGGCGTGTATCTCAAAAGCTCTATAATGGCTACAATAAACAACGTCTTTAAGTCGTTTAAAGATTCCATATGATCAATAATTTTTAATAATAAGTTATCTTTTGAAGATTTTTTTTAAAAGAATGTCTTAGGGAAAGCGTTGCCATTGTGGTCTCTTTTTCAGCGAAAGTTAAATTGCCTTTTTTGTGAATGAGCTCGCCGCTTTTGTCAATGACAGAAATGTTTAAATCTTCACACAAATCTCTTTTTTTAAGTTCTTTGGTTAATAAGTACTCAGATTTTATTGAATTCAAAACTTCATTGTAACAATGAATAGTTTTAAATAATTCCTGCTTTGAATCCGAATCTAATTTGCCAGCAAATTTTTTGAAAACGTCTAGAAGTGGTAAAATTACAAGATTGTATTGAGAAGTTTGAATATTTTCAGCGTCTTTTCGACTTAAGTTATTTATGGAATACAAACCAACCGAGTCTGAAACTTTAAATTATTTTCAAAAAGATTTTCTATTACGTGTACTTCATCCAATGTTCCGAATCAGAAGTCTCTTCACAGTGGCTCTCGATGCTTACCTCCTTAGGTACATATTTTTTGTGTAGTATATTTTTTTCCAAATTCCTAAAATCACTTTGACTTGGTAATTTTTTCGTGGAGCCGCAATGCTTTTCCACAAATACTTCTCTGTGAACTTTTGTAAGATGCCTTTTAAAGGAACTTTAAGTTGTGAATGCGCGTACACCTGAATGTATCACTATTTTGGAAACCATGAAATGTTTGCAAATGCCACAAATATTTTTCTATATTGCTAAAATTTTTAGAACATATAAAACACTCCATTTTAACTTGCAGCACTTCTATTAGCTCCAATGCACAAAAATATTACAAACACTTTTATCAACGTCTGATCACAATAAATGTCACTTTACAAATGGATTTTTCTTATTATTCAATCACTGTTTCGCACGCTGCAGACATAACGGGATTTTCTCAATTGGCATGCCACTGATGTGAGTTTGCATTTTATGCTAGGGTTTCTTTCGTTTATCTGAAAACTACCAAAAATAGTTTTAATACAGCAATAAAATGTAATTGAAGTGTAACCCCGCAAACGGTAGAAAAATTAATAAACTAAAGGATGATAGACAAGACATGTAATAAATTAAAAATTTTAAAACCTTTTTTTATTCAAGATTATTGTTTAAAGGTAATAACTCCCATGCCTGAATAAGTATACTACAAAAGCAATGCTTTTGTGTGTGCGTGATTTACAAATAAACGCACAAACATCAGGGGGTGAAAAAATTAAAATTACAAACAGTTAA